GGCTACTTTTATAGCTTAGAGCATACAGTTATAACTGGGTGAATAATTTTTTTTGTTTAGTTCAGTAGCCAAAGTGAAAAACTGAACAAATTTCAGTTTGAGTGAAGTGAAATATTCCATTCAACCTGACATTTTGTTTAATTTTCAGGTGGTTTTTCCCCCCCTTCTTGTTTTTAGTTAAATCAGCTAAATTTCTAACCAAAATGTCATTCTAAAACAAAAAGATGAAATGTTTAATTTAGAAAATATTGAAACAAAACATTTCACCTTTATTGAAATTTTTCCCCATTTTTTTTCAGCGAAAGCTCTTCACCAATTTTTGTGTGTGGCCAGCTCCAAATGCAATAAGATGCAATTACATCTTGGTAGGACGTGGTGAAATTAGAAATGGAATTGAGCTGTGAAGTTTGGATCTGGGTCTGAACAATCCCAGATTTCGGCAAGGTTTGGACCTGTGATTTTTGTCTCAAGACCATCTCAAGATGAGGTGAAATGAGATAAAGATGGCATGTGATTAAGGAGAGATCATCACATGGTGAAGAAAACTTGTGATACCAAAAGCCTGAAATGAAAATAGCATGGAAATAATATTCATGCTGTAAGACAATCCTTCCAATATTTGGAGTTATCAAATGCCACAACCTCACTTTGGCATTTCAGTTTGCACCCAAAAGCCACGTTATTTTATTACTCTAATGCCATGATGATTTTTTTTTAAATACTAGGCTCAATTATGCCCTAATTTTGTATATCCAGTGTCTTATTTAAATTAACTACGAGTAAAATTATTTCAATCTAAACGGTCTTCTGTTCTTTGATGCTCTACTTCCAGTAAAGCAGCTGTTTACTCTTTTTTTTTTTTTAAACTTTTTTGTCTGCATAGGACCACATGACCCTAAGATTTCTAAGGAATTTAACAAAATGTATGTCAGCTGACTTGACTTTACCAGATATATACAGTGTAGCTCACATGCCTACTAGCATGTATTGTTCTGATTTTATATGGTCATTCCACTGTCACCATCCTTCTGATTTCTGAGGAGATTTAGCTGAAGTTTGTATACCAATTATACAAAAGCACAGTTTCAAAGTTATCCTCTATGGAAATTCCAGTTTTATAATATGCCCACTCCTGTTCTCAAAGCGAGGTTTAGAGTGGATAACTAGCTTAATCTGGCAACCACTGCCCTTCTACTTGGCTTGCGCTTCCAGAACACAGACCCAGTAGTCCTAGCCAAGGCTAAGAAACAACATGCATCTGTAGGACACTTGTACATTTGGCAGCCATGTCATGCCTTTCTGTAAATCAGGTTGAATCCCCAGCAGCACATGCTGAGCAGGCAACCAGATGACTTCTTTCATGATGTTGCACTTGCTGGATCCAAGGCAGGAACTCACAGGTAGCAGTGGCCAGAGGAAGGATGTCAGTAGCAGCACCACCCGAGGGACTGAGCATTAGTGTCAGGCTCCCTCACCTCTCCTGCATCAGGCTTTACCAAGCTGTCCCTAAGCAAACACACCCAAGCCCCCTGGCTGCATCCCCAGCATCCAGCCAACCCCCCTCCCCCAGTAGCAGCAACCTGTGACCCACCCACACTCAGTAACCCACAACATCCCAATTGCTGTAACCCCAGCAGCTCACCCCCATCATTCTCCCAGCACCACATCTTCTGCAGACTCACCCACAACCTCTGCACCCCTCTCAATAGCCAGCAAACCATCCCAAGCAACCCAGTAGCCACAAGCAATCAACAAATACCCACCCCCTACAACTCCAGGCACTCCACCACTGCCACTTACACCTTCACTGTCCCTAAGTGTCCCCTATCCATCCTGCTACTGCCTCCCCACATCAGCCACCAGTTTCCCTCTAGTCACCCCAGCCATAGCTACCACGTTTTATACAGCTTCGTGCCATACCCCTTGAGGCAGGATGTGTTGACTATAAATGGAAGTTTGTTTTGTGCAAATTTATAAACCTACAAATTAACTCTAAACAATTTGCTTAAAATGACACATGGAGCTACACAAAACTTGGTGGCTATGCATATTTCAGAACACTCTACACCAGCTGCAACTGATCTTGTGGCATGTAAACTATACCACCTTGGTCTAGGATCCTTGTCAGTTGAGTTTGATAAACTGGGCTGGGTTCCTCCTTGGTGATCCTCCTAAATCACAGTGTTGTAGGAAGCACTGCTAGTGATTCAGTAGCTGGCCCTCTTTCCATTTGAGCTAATATAGTGTTAGGGGGCTCTGTGCTGCCAGAGGCAATGTCTTATACAAAAAAACACAAAACAGAGGTTCCTAACAATTATGGCCACTAACTAACCTATGGTACTTTTCTCCAGTGATTTGGTCAAATTCTAATTTTAAAAAAACTATTCAGTTTTCCTAGCTTCCTCGTCACCATTTCTTTTAGGTATGGTATTGTATGCTCTTCTTTTGTAAATTAGTGTGTCGTTTCAGTGCGCTGTTACACAGTTCCATGTTTTGATACACAGATGGCTACGTTTCATTAGCCTGTAATATGATCTTTCTGCATAATTTGTATACATTTTATCTATGTGGTTGTTTTCAGATCCTTTGAGATGAAAGGGGATATTTAAGCCTAAGATATCAGTATATTACTCAGTTAAGCTTTGCTTTAAAATGTATTTTTTTCTTTTCATATCTTTGTAGCTCTTATCTCACTGGCTGATTTACTAGAGGAGGTCCTACTGGTAAGTGTGTTGGTTCTTCAAGGGGAAACATACTTCCTACTGATTACTTTAATGTGGCTATCTTATGCCAGTGTTTGGCCTCTTAATAGTTGCTGTGGAAATGAGTATGATGATATAAAGACATGATTACAAGTAAATAGGTTATGACTGTGAGATAATTGTGCACAAATATTTAATATCATAGGCCCAGATTGTCCCCCAGTGATCCATGCATGCAGGAGTTCACTGTCCACAGATCCCCCAGCTATGCAGAGGTGACTTAGCCAAGCCTGTGCTAATGTGTGTCTCTTGACTCTGCAGCAGGCACTCTGCTGGTAGATGGTCCAAGCTGCAGGGCAGAGTGGAGACTGGGCATGTGGGGAGAGGAGTAGGTGGTCCAGGGCTAGGATTGCACATAAACTCAATGAATCTAAGACTAGACGGGATCAACAGATCATCTAGTCTGACCTCCTCTGTACACTAAACCTGACAACCAAATTAAACCAAAGTATTACAGCCCTGAGGAGACTAAACTGTTCTGTGCCACAGGCACAGAATAGGAGGAACCAAGGTGCAGTTGTGCCCAAGGCCCCCACACTAGCAGGGAAATGAGGGATTCCTAGATAATCCTGGCAAGTGATCCACACTCCATGCTGCAGATTTAAAGAAATTCCAAGCCCCCTCCACATTTAAGTCCTTGAGTTCTTCAGTCTGTGGACTTCCTTAACTAATTCCCTTAATTTCCCAAAGTCTAAAACCATAGCTGATTACCTGGTTTTGATTATCCTTTTATTTTATTTAAAATCACCCTGTGGAGGAAAGATAGCGTAGATAGCAAAGCAATGCAAGATAATGCAGTCTTTCCCAGGGAACACCTTCCTGACTGTATGGTCCTGCTGCAGACAAGGGGAGTCCTTGATAATGTGGATTCAATGGTGCTGTGGTGCCAGAGAGGCAGAGGAAGATGGGAGTGGGTAGGCTACAGTCCAGAACTGGTGCTCAAGCATAGGTTTCTACATGACAAGGCCCTAGCCTTTCACAGATCCCTCTAAAGACATGCAATGTTTGTGATGTGTGTTCTCTTTCATGTGAGGAGCAAATACTGCCCCTGACAAGACCGGGCAATTTCTTTTGTGGGGAGGATGGTGGATATCCTCAGGGATCCTTTTAGAGATTTCCTCCCTCTAAGCCTCTCCCTGCAGGTTTTTCTGTGGGGAAGGGATGATCTGGCTTCTCATTTGTGGGAACATACTAAATAAAACTGATTTTTGTTCCTTAATTTTAATGTGACTGTTAAACTAAGCTCCATTAAATAATAAAATGGTTTTGTAGGCACAGGGCTTATGAAGAGAAAAACATGTCTTCTTGCCCGGAGCCAGCAATCGCAGGTTGAGTACCTAGGCGCTCTAGCTGGAGAGGTGGGGTGCACTATCTGATACGTGCACAGCAGAAGAGACTTTACTGCTCCGGCTGTTCTAACCCCTTCACGGTAGTGGTGATAAATAAAATATTTGTTGGTTAATATTGATAGAAACCTAATACAGCTTTAGACCTGTTCAATGTTTTCCTTAACTGTTACAGCGCTGAGCTTTGGGAGCTGTATCTCAGCGCATTTTGCAACAGAGCCCAATGCTACTCGCTGGAAGCCACTGACAAAGCCCCACGACTTCAGTAGTTAGCAGGAGTGGGGCATGGGCGATCGTCTTTATGCATTTTCTTAAAGTTGTTTAGCTCTCTCTGTGTATAATTTTACAACCTAGGAAAGGGGCTGTTAAACCACTAGCTCTTGCTGGTTTTCGAAGCCCAGCCCCTAGATTCTTATGAGGGTGGAAGATCACGCTGCACAGCCGAGAACCAGTACTAGTGTTGTTTAAAAAGGGGTAGGGGCATTTCCCCTGGTAACAGAATAGTAACGCCTGCTAGCGAACGAGAGCAGACTACCTGCGGGCTAACCACACGTGCTGAACGATAACTGTCTGCAGGGCAATGGTCTCCCCCACCTACCCCTACAACAATCAAGCCGAGCTGCAAGACGGAGACTACATCTGAGCGGACTATTCAAACCCCGCCAGCCGCTGTAGCAGACGCTCTCCCTGCGGCCCGGGCTGTGCACCAGGACCCTCCTGGGGACGCCCACGCCCCCCGTGCTGGCAGGGTGGTGACAAGCACCTTACCACGTAGCACAGCCCGGTGTTAGCGGGGGCAGGCTGGGCGGGAAGGTGTGTCTGGGGCGGGGAGGAGCTGGCGGGGAAGCCCTCCCCCGGCTCAGGCTGTCGCGGCCAGTGGTGCCCGGGGAGCGCTAGGCGCACAGCTGGGAGCAGGGGGGCAGACACCGCGAGGAGCCCCGCTGCACCTGGCCGCTGCGGAGCCCCTGCGCCGCCCTCAGCCCCGCACCGCGGCCATGCGGCGGGCGCTGCTGCTCCTGTCCGCCGCCGCCTCGCTCTGCTCAGGTACGTGGGGACGGGCCGGGGCGGGCACCGGGATGGTCCTGTCCCCGCACGCGCTCGCGCGCCTTCCGAACTTCGCTCAGTTGCGCGGGCAGGGGCGCGCGGGCTCGCTCCGGACCGGAGACTCGCTCTGCACGCGCGCACGGCTCGCGCCGATGTATCCGCTACCTGGGAGTGACAAACCCGCCCTGGTCCTGGTGCGTTCCCCGCCAGCCCCGAGCCCTGCCCGTGCCGCGCGGACAGCTGGCCAGCCCCTCGTGTTTCGCCGGCAGATAAGAAGCTTAATGCATTTCATTATTGTCATTATCAACGTGTGTGCGCACCAGAGCTAGGTCGGTTAGGATTTGGAATAACGAGTCCAAAGCTATTAAACTGACGGGTTCAGTCCAGAACTGTTCTGGTAACTGAGACGTTTGCGCCCTGTGGCTTCAAGAGCTATTGCCTTGTGTGCAGGGATTTGCACATGCCAAGGCACTGTCAGTGCGCCCCGATTTTCAAAAGGGGACTTGAAGCGAATTGCTTGTCCTGGCGATCAGAGCTTTGTGTGTGTTTGTCCGTGGCCCCGCGCTGTGAACTTCAGGACATCACAAGTTTGCGACTCGTAGGTGTGCACTCATTTGGGATACTTTAGAGGTAAGGTTGCAAGATGGCACAGGTGGGAGTGTCTGGGTATGTATATTACGGCACAATGTTTCAAAAGTTACTAGGGATTTTTGGGTGCCCAACCTGAGACATCTTGAAGAAGCCTGTTATTCAAACTCAGCACTAAGGGAAAAATCAGACCTCTTTAAGAATTTTCAAGTTTGGGTATTCAATTTAGTAGTCACTTTTGAGAATTTGTGCATACTGTTTCCAGTGTTTATCAGTTTTTCTCATTCTTTCAAATGTGGATTAGTACAATTACTTATAGTGGAGAAAAATATATTTAAATAACTTTTGTATTGCAGTGCAGATTGCAGCAGATATGCACAAAGAGCCTAATCACCTATTCTATGTGAGCCCAGAGTTCCTATTGACTTCAGAGAGAGGTTTGGGTACAAGACAAATGCAGGTTGGGGCCCAATCTGTTCTCTAGAAATATTTCATACGTTTTTTATTTAAGCACACAGAAAAATATAGTGCCATCAGTTACAAAAGCTGGTTTTCTCTTTCCATTCACCTCAGTTGTACACTACACTGTACTGACAGCCAGCCTCCCAGCCCAGGTAGACACTCATGCTAATGGGGCTTGAGCTAACACACTAAAAACGGCCATGCGGATGTTGTGGCTCCAGTGGCAGCCTGAGCTCTCAAGCTCAGCCAACTGACCCCATGGTCTGAGCTTGGGTGGCTAGCCCATCTCCACTGGAGCCGGAACATCCCCACTGCTATTTTTAATTCCCACAAAAATTTTAGCTCTGGCAGAGCTAGCACAAGACTGTCCTACCCAGGCTGGGAGGCTCACTCCTAGATGCAGGGTAGTCATACCCTACGGGATCAGGAAGAATAATGCATGAAGCATGCTGCTGACCTGATGAACCTTCCCCCATCCTCTCTGTGTGCCTCCCACCTCAGGCTGGCCCTGTTTTAGATCCCCCTCAGATGGTGACACTGAAGGGAGCACTGAGGGCATCTATTATATATTTTTTTCTGATATTCACCTACATTCTCCTTTCTTACATTTCATCCAATCACTCCTTCTTGTACCCACTCATTGCCAACTTCCTATAAATCTTCTCCATCCATGGTAGATACTTTAAAATGTTAGAAATGGTTAGCTGCCTTCCCCTCTTCCTTCACAACCTGAATAGATGCTTAGTCTCTCCTCATAAATTAGCCTTTCCAAACTCTCTATTGGTCTTCTTTCAGCAACCTTTGGATTGTCAATATTTATTTCGGTGGGAGTGGGGGGTACCCAGCCTATTGCAGGATTGGGCCCAATATTTGTACATAAAATCAAAGTCAGCTACCTGTTAGTATTTGGGGTTTATAGAGTGTCTGAGACATGCATCTATTATTGGGAGTGAACTACATCCACCCTGATCAAATTGGCCCTGTCAACACTGGTTCTCCACCTGTGATGTAACTCCCTTCTCTTCATGTGTCATTATATAATGCCTGCATCTGTAATTTTCACTCCATGCATCTGAAGAAGTGGGGTTTTTTACCCATGAAAGCTTATGCCCAAATAAATCTGTTAGTCTTTTTAAGGTGCCACCGGATTCCTTGTTGTTTTTGAGGCATGTACTGTAATATAATCCATACACTACATGTTGACAGTGTACGGGACTTAATTATAGAAGTGAATATAATGTATTTATTAAAAAGGGGTACCTTAACCAGATATTTCCTGTCTTTTAAGAGTTTGTAAGTGTATGTGTAACCTACACACCTCTTGGGTATGGTGTTCTGTCCCATCTGGTGGCATTTAGTGAGAGAAATAAAATGAGTCTGCTCTACAGCCTTAGCTAACAGCCTGTCAGCTTTTAGCTCATGTGGTAGAGGCTCATGCATTAAGCTCCAGAGTTGCCAGTTCAATCCCGCCCACCGATGCCCGGGGTCTGTCAGCATCACACATGCTTTCCTTAAGACACGTTGTTTTTCTAATTAAGTTTTTTTCTTTATGGGAATTAATAATAAAATGTGAAAACCACAAGATCATCCCTGTAGATGTTATGAAAGGCATGTGTGTTTCTGTGGATGCCATTTTCTGTGTGTATATATGAGAAGGTGTGAGTGTAAAACAAACATACAGGAGCAGATCTTCAGTTGGTGTAATGGAGCTACATCAATTTACACAGCTGGAATCTGGTGCACAGTAATTGTCTAAAATAGCTTTTTCTTCAGAATAGGTATGTTATTGGCTTTCTGTGTGAGAGGACCAGAGGTAGGACAAGCTGCTCTTGAGAATAGTCAAATAAGAGAGACATGTCAAAATACCAAAAGAGAAAATCTGTTCGTTATGAAAGAAGTAGCTACGTTGAAGCATTATCACATGACGATCTTTCTATGCCACGGGATTGCAGTCATAGTGAGCTACAAACACAGTGAATCTTGAGGCTGAATTCTCTGTCATACTCCTTGTGTTCTGCACAGAGTGTTACCAAGAAGTTGAATGATAAAATACAAGCTTTAAATGTTGATCAAGGAGAAAATATTGTATAATTTGATGAACAGACTGGTGAATGTATGTACAGTGTGTGAATGAACCTTTCATTCAGTTTGTTAATTACCTTGCACAATTAGTAATTTCTAACTTGTATTGTGCTTTTTTATATATGGTATACGCACAATTATAGTGTGTGTGTGTGTGTGTGTATACACACCCATATTTTTTTCCTGTCCTTCTCTTCATGTACTTAGAGAGAAGGAAAGAAACTAAAGAGCCAAGTAGCTGAGCTATTCACACAATGTAATTTACTATTAAAATCAGCTACTACCTTGAGGGCCTTAAAAGTGGTCAGTATAGTGCCAATCTTAATAATTAATAATAATAATAGATAATTAATAAAAAGCTAAGATGAGCCAGGGACTATCGAGAGTTGAGCCTTACATCAGTAAGAAAATAGTTGAGAAGATAGAATGGAAAGAGGAATGAGCTATAGTTCTGTAAGGCACCTTTGTACCCATATACCAGCTCTCTCCCATTGGCATAGAGCGGCTACATGGGAGACCTTACAGTGGTGAAGCTGCAGCAGTACAACAACTGTGCCACTGTAAGATCTGCAGTGTAGACATAGCCTTAGTACTAGAGTGTAAGAGGTAGACCTGTCATGGAATAAAAACCTGTTTAAATGTTAGGAATCAAAATAGGAATAAATGGCTGCCAAGTCTGACTTTGGAGTAGATGTTAACAATAAGTATCTGAAGTAGCTCTACTGCTAACATTGATGTTAAATATTTTTATTGACAGCTTCGAAGATCAGTTTTTTGTTTCTTTGAAACCTCTTGAAGAGCTCAATATTGGAGGCCACAAAGGCCATTTGGTGTTCTTGCACGTCAATTCCTATGTTCTTGTGAGAGAGACTGCAAAGATGTATCGTTAGCCTCCGAGTTCCTTGATACAACACTGAGGCCTGGTCTACACTGCTGCTTAAGTTGATGTAAGTTACGTCGCTAAGGGGTGTGAAAAAATCACCCCTCTAAGCGATGTAGCTTATATTGACCTAATGTGGTGTCTACACCGCGCTATGTCGGTGAGAGATGCTCTCCTGCCGACTTCACCTCCCTGAGAAGTGGGAGCTAAGTACTGAAGTTGATGGGAGAGTGCTCTGCCATCGACTTACTGCATCTTCACCAGATCTGCTAAATTGATGCCACTACATCGATTGCAGCCGTGCTGATTTAGCGTGTCAGTGCAGACAAGTCCGGAGACATCAGACTCTGAGGACAGCATTGGAACTTCTAAAAGAAGGGCTGGAGCTGTCCTGTCAACGAACTTTAATACTTGAGTCTAGTATAATAGTCTTCTCCTGGTCAATTCCTCCATGCACTCACTTTTGAAGTGTATAACCTAGAGGTGCACAAAAACATCGGAAAATTTTCCACAGCATTTTTTGCTGATTCATTTCAGGCTATCTTGGGGCCTTCATATTTTGCTTTTATGTTACATTTGACAAACTAGCTAACACTTTTTCTTCTCACAAAACAGCATTCTTGCGATGGAAAGAAGCCCATTTAAAATAAAAAAACCTGTGCCATATTCATTGTATTTTAATTTTCAAATTTTTAAGTTAATACAAAAGAACTCAAATATTGAATGTATTCATCTCTCATTGTGACTATTTCACACACCTTTTTATATAAGCCATTTTAAATTTTATTGAATCAATAAAATTTAGCTGCTTACCTGGCAGCATCTTGTTATAATTCTCCATTATAATGTCTCTTCTCTTCTTCCCTTCAGTAGCTCTCGTTTCATGGATATATAGAGTTTTAAGGTCAGGAGGGACCATAAGATCATCTAGTTTGACTGGATCTAGTCATAGGCCATTACATTTCACATGATTACCCCTGTATTAGGG